GGTGTTGCTCCCACACCTCGCTCAGCCAGTGAGCAGCCGGTCTGTATGTGGGATCTGAACCCTCGGTGGGAGTGCCGCCGTGCTCCCAAGCGGCGCACTGTAGCAGTGCGCCACCGGGCCGGCCCTTATCACTCCTTCTTGAGGATCTTTCTTGATCATTCTATTTATTACAGCAACCTGTCATATACCTCCCATCTCATTTTGAATGACTTTTCTCTATATATATTTATGTTCTAATATACTGTTTATTATTATTCTACCTCCCCTCTGCTAGAATAGTTCACTGATATATCCCAAACACCTACAGTAGTGGCTGGAATATAGAAAGCACCCAATAAATATAACTAATTTCAGTGTAGGCTCCTCTGGAGAAAGTATATTTAAACTCACGTTTGCTAGCAGACTGCCTTTGTACAGATGGGCAAAGGTCTCATTTCTTGTTCAGGTGTGTAGAGAATTGACTGCCTACAGTCAGAGATATCATTTCTTAACAAAGCATTATTACTTTCAATTGCTGCTAGTAACTCTATCCTATTACTGTTAGAAATTTTGTTACTACTCTCTTGAATTGATCCCTTTTACAGGACATTACAGAAAGCAGCAAGAAACACCCAACACAGTTTAAATCACTCCTACAATTTCCTCTAACATTACAGCCTTGATTGGCATAAAGTATGCATTATAAGAGTGGGAGGCAATCTGACCAAATGTTCTGCCTGTGAAAACAATAATCTTCACTTTTCTCTTCTGAACTGTGTAGATTCTCATTCTCTATGGCCCTAAGTCAATGCCACATTTGAGATTTCTTTTATGCATAGTACCCTACTTCCAGGTAAAAACATTTTATATCCTGAATAATTTTTGCCAATAACAGAACTACAATAGCACCAACAAGTAAGAGATTTATTTTAATTGTATATAAGTAAATCCAGATCAGAGTCTGTATGTCTGTTCCACAAACATAGTAAGGGTTCATTAAATAAGGGTTGCAGACCTTTTTGTTTTTCTGCTCCATCATCCATTACAACCAGATACCATTCTGAAAGTCAGTATGAGTCTGTCAGAGCTCCAGGTTGAATGTCCACATTGTAGGTAAGAAAAAAAAAAAAAAAAAGAAAAGAAAAGAAAAGAAAGAAATGCAGAGAGGAAAAAAAAAATTTAAACTCATTTGAATACAACTTTTATTTTGTTGACCTTCAGGGAAGGCTGGGATAATTTTTCAGCTCAGAATTTTGTTACTAAAGAAGAGAAAATGTATATTTAATAAGGAAAAAGCAGTCTCTGTCACAAACAAAACAGTATAATGTCACCTTTTAAGTTTACTTAAAATGCTATACATTCTAGGGTTTTTTTTTTTTCCTTTTTGTCTTTTTTTCGTGACTGGTAATGGGATCGCAACCCTCGGTGTCGCGCCCGCACCGCGACCGGCAACGGGATCGCAAACCTCGGTGTCGCGCCCGCACCGCGCTCAACCGGTGAGCGGACCGGTCTCTATATGGGATCCGAACCCTCGGCGGGAGCGCCGCTGCGCTCCCAAGTGCCGCACTCTACCGAGTGCGCCACCGGGCCAGCCCTACATTCTAGGTTTTAAAAATTTCCTAGTAGATTTTTAGTCTTTGGATCTTGGACTTGGTTACTAATCACTTGACAACTCTCCCAAATTCTCTGACAGCTGCACTCAATAATCCACTGATTGTATTCACAGGGTTTCTTTACAGTATGAATTTCCTTGTAGCATAATGGATGAGATTTGAATGAAAACCTTTTTACATTCATTACAGCACACAATGCCCCCATTGCCCATATCATCTAGGATAAGTTTTAATGAAAGATTTCTTGGTATTCATTACACTCATTAAGAGCCCTCCTCTCATGCAAATTCTCTAAAATAAAACTAATGAAACTGGTAGCTAATATTTGTGATATGTTTTGTTTAAGGCACTGTTCTAAGAGCTTTTGCATGTAATAATTCACATAATACTTCCAAGAATCTTATAAGAAAGGTATTGTTCTTAGGTCTATCTTTAAAATGACTAAACCAAAGCAGAGGTTAATTGTCATGATAAATAACACAGAGGAAATCAACTGGTGGAGACAAGACAATGTTGAAAATGACACTTGCTATGGCTAAAGGTCTTTCTACACTTACTATATTAACACGTTACTCTATATTTTAATTTGCTACAGTTTAATAGGTTTTCAATAATGAAAGTTTTTTCTACATAGATTACATGAACACTTTATTTCACCAATATAGATTCTCTGATGCTGAGCTTTACATGGTAAATGTGCTCCCACATTCACATTTGTAATTCTTTGCTGATAATGAATGACCAGAAAAAGCTCTCTATATTAATCATAAAGAACCAGATAATTCACATATAAACTTGTGAGTCATGACTAAATTCTATCCCACATTCCTTATACTCAAAAGATTCCTCACTGACATGAATTCTCTGATGTTGAGTTAGTTGCGAACCACGAGTAAAGGTCTTCCCACATTCCTTACATTGATATGGTTTCTCACCAGTATGAACTCTCTGATGTCGAGAAAGATGTGAGCTCTGAGTGAAGGCCTTTCTACATTCCTTGCATTCATAGGGCTTTTCACCAGTATGGATTCTCTGATGGAGAGTAAGTTGAGAGCCATGACTAAAGGCCTTTCCACATTCCCTGCATTCATAGGGCTTTTCTCCAGTGTGAATTCGCTGATGTTGAGTAAGTTGTGAACCACGAATGAATGCCTTCCCACATTCCTTACACTGATATGGTTTCTCACCAGTATGAATTCTCTGATGTTGTATCAGTAGTAAGCCACGAGCAAAGGCCTTTCCACATTCATTACATACATAGGGCTTCTCACCAGTATGAAGTCTCTGATGTTGAGAAAGATGTGAACTCTGAGTAAAGGCCATTCTACATTCTTTACATTCATAAGGTTTCTCACCAGTATGAATTCTCTGATGTTGAGTAAGCTGTGAGCCACGAATAAAAGACTTCCCACATTCTTTACATTCATATGGTTTCTCACCAGTGTGAATTCTCTCATGTTGAGTAAGTTCCGAACCACGACTAAAGGTTTTTCCACATTCTTTACATTCATAGGGTTTTTCACCAGTGTGAATCCTCTGATGTCGAGTAAGGAGTGAGCCACGATTAAAGGCCTTTCCACATTCCTTGCATTGGTAGGGTTTCTCACCAGTATGAATTCTCTGATGCTGAGTAAGTTGTGAGCCATGGCTAAAGTTCTTTCCACATTCCTTACATTCATAGGGCTTTTCATTGGTATGAATTCGCTGGTGTTGAGTAAGTTGTGAACCACGGATAAAGGCCTTCCCACATTCTTCACATTTATAGGGCTTTTCACCAGTATGAATCCTCTGATGTTGCATAAGTAGTGAGCCCCGAATAAAGGCCTTCCCACATTCCTTACACTCATATGGTTTTTCCCCATTATGAATTTTCTGATGTTGAGAAAGCTGTGAGCCACATATAAAAGCTTTCCCACATTCCTTACATTCATAGGGTTTCTCACCAGTATGAATTCTCTTATGCAGAATAAGTTGTGAGAGCTGAGTAAAGACCTTTCTACATTCTTTACATTCATAGAGCTTCTCACCAGTATGAAGTCTCTGGTGCAGAGTAAGTTGTGAGTTTTGAGTAAAGGCTTTCCCACATTCTTTACATTCATATGGTTTCTCACCAGTATGAACTTTTTGATGTCGGGTGAGTTGTGAGCTACGAATAAAGGCTTTCCCACATTCTTCACATTTATATGGTTTTTCACCAGTATGAATCCTATGATGTAAAATAAGTTGTGAGCTCTGAGTAAAGGCCTTCCCACATTCTTTGCATGCATAGGGTTTCTCGCCAGTATGAAGTCTCTGATGAAGACTGAGTTGTGAATCACGACTAAATGCCTTCCCACACTGCTTACATTCATAGGGTTTTTCACCAGTATGAATACTCTGATGCTGAGTTAGATGTGAGGCTCGTCTAAAGGCTTTCCCACATTCCCTACATTTATAGGGTTTCTCAGTAGACTGACATCTTGGATGTTGGGACAAGTAAGCATGCTGGTTGAAAACAGACATTTTTTCGTATGTGATCATCCCTTGTCGAAAATATTCCTTTTGATTACCTTGTTGCTTCTCCAACTTTCATTTGACTTCCAAATAATCTCTAGAATTGGACTCCTCAAGATCACATTTCTCAAGCCTATCACTCATTTGCCATGGAGATAATTCTTTTTCATAAGTGTCTTTTTTTCCAGATAAGTCCTTACTTGCACACCTTGAAGGCAATTCTGAAACATAAGACAATATCAAAACATTCAGGAGAAACATTTACTTTTATAGCAAAAAAGGCAAATAATCAGAAAATAATAACTATAAGAAATAACAAGCTTACTTAAGTGTTTTTCAAATATTGTTTACAAGGCCCCTTAATGCCTACCTTTTATGTCACAACCTACTGTACATATATAGTTTCATAAAACAATACCTACCTTGTTTTCTACTCTATCCTACACTATTCTACTCTTTTCTTTCTCTCTCTCTCTCTCACACACACACAGACACAAACACAGTCAAAACTCACTAAACTGATTTCATGGTGCAGTAACATTGCTACATAGTTTGAAAAAATATCACCTTAGAATAATGTCATATATTAACATGTAAAAGCGGCACCGGAGAGATCAAAGAATGAAAACTCACTTAAGAAGATAAGAGATTAAGGAAACTTTTTAGGTTTGGTGGGGATCCAGATCACCTGGGGAGATTGTTTAAATTACAGATGTCCAAATACTACACTAGACTAACTGAATCTGAATCTAGTAAATCAGCAAAAGAACATGGAGATTGCTACTTTCAATACTTTGACAGTGATTCAGATTGAGATAATAATTTACTATCTTTGCTTAAAATTTTTTTAATATCTTCCAAATTAAACCAAGAATAAAATCCATACTCTTCCACGACTTTGACAAAGCCTTCCATAGTCTGGTCCATGCTTATATATCTGATTTCCCTCATGAGCTTTCTCAGCTATGCCCACTATTTGCCACATATACTAGCATACTTTCAACTCTGAAAAAGTCACAAGTCCTTCTCCAACTTATAGCTAGCCAGAACCTGTTCCACCTCTTTGGACTGCTTTGTATGAGACTCTATACAAACTGGCTCTTTCTCATTCTTCAGGTCTCTAATTATCAGTTCCTAAATCTTAAACATCCACTTCTGGTAATTTAGGTAATCTGACCAACCTTCCTGTTAACAGCAATTACACATATTGGACAAAAGGCATTGGAAGGTGAGTATTGAAATAAAGAGTTGGTGGGCTAAAAGTTGAAAACTATGAAGGCTCAGAGAGATGAGCCTAACATTTGGGTTCACTTTTCCACTTAGGGAAATCTTAGAATTCTAGAAAAATTGAGAGGAGGAGAAACTAAGGAGTGTTTTGGACTGTTTCATAAAACTGGGTAACAATAATTGGAGAAGAGGTCCTGCCATAAATTCTCCATACTTTGTATTGGGAACCTTGAAGCCTACAGAAAGGAATAAGGGACAAACAGTAGACCAGTCTGGGTAGAGTCTGAAGCCTGAATCATCTCTGAATTCTCAAACCCAGAAATTCAGATTACGGTGACTCAAGATTGTTTGCCTTAGCAAACTTAAATATTTATTGGAGATGTTATCATCCAAGTCCTCAAATTACTTTTGTAACTTTTCTTTACAATGTCTAGCATTCAGTAAAAAAAAAGGTGAATTTAAGATACAAGACAACTTAATGGAAAAACAGGAGGAAAAACAGACAAAAGAAACAGACCTATAATGGCTCAAGTCATGCATCCACCACACTTCTATCAGTCCTAAATACCCTCATATTGTCCCTTTGTAGTAAACCCTTTCTCCCATCCTAGGGGTAGGTGCCTATAAACCACTGATTTGTGGCTTTCCTGTCACTTCCTTAATAGATGGAAACAAAAGCACATCCATACTAAATCTATGATTTTATATACATCTCTAATTGCTTTGCCTCTTGCATACTGCTTCCCAGGTACTAGCCAAAATTATTTGTAGCTATCCCTATCCTTTTCAAACAAGATACTCAGTTGCTATTGTTTACTTATCTTTACTTCATAGTCTCTTTTGTTCCCTTTGTCCCTTCATGCCTTGTTTCATGTCTTCTCTTATTTATTTGTCTATCCAAGGCCAACTGTATGTGTTCATCACAGAAGAATATCTTATCATTTCTCAGGCACTACTACAGAACTCTGGAATAATGAAAGGCTTCTGTAATCTTATGGAATGTTGAGGATGTTTGAAAGTAAAAAAGCAATTATCTAAATAAGAGAAAGAGTCTGGAGTGATAAAGTTCCAAAAATTGTATAAGAAAAGAGTATTTGAGATGGAAATATAGATCAAGAAACAGAACACAAAAAGTCTTATACACTACTGCTGGAAATTGAAAGTATGGTAAATAAAGTTAAACATACACTTAGTATATGATCCAGCAGTCATATTTGTAGGCATTTATACTTATGTTCAGACAAACATCTGTACACTGAAGATTACTGCAGCTTTAGTCATAATTGGCCAAAACTGGAAACAAACAGATGTCCCTCAAAAGGTGAATGAATCAACAAACTTTGGTACTTCCATACAATAAAACATTACTCAACAGGTAAGTAGAAACAAACTGTTGATTCATACAACAATATGGATAAATCTTAAACATATTTTGCTAAGTGAAAAAAGCCAGATCCCAAAGGCTACATATTTTGATTCCATTCACATGACATCCTTGAAACAGCAAAATTATAGGGATGGAAAATAGGTGAGTAGTTTTCACACATTGGGGAAGGTAGAAGGGGTTGACAACAAAAGAAAAGCATGAGGAAATGTAGGGAAAGGTGATAGGAATGTGGTATACTATGAATGTGTCAGTGGATACACTGGATATGTGGATAGTGCATCAGATATTTTATATGACAAACATCCTTCTAAAAGTATAGCCAAGTTTAAAAGAAAGTAAAGAAGATCCAGATGGGCCACAGTGAAGTGAGAACCAGAAACTAGAGAGGTAAACATGGTCTGAAGTGACACCTACCCTCAGGACACTTGCTGACTTCAAGTGCCCGAGTTTGTAACTCAGTGGGCTGAAAAAATCCAGGAGACTAGGCCTTGGGCTCATGAAAGAACAGGAATTAGAAATAAACCTTTTTACAAAATTGGAAATATACAAGGCCTGCAGTTCAAACAAAGGAAAAGAAATTTATAGAGCTCAAAGGAAAATACAAGTAACATGTCACTCATGGCCATGGTGTCAACTTAAGTGACAGAGAGAGGCTCTCTGAAAGAATAACAGTGGAACATTGGGAATACACATGCCATGGTAAACTATGTGCATATTCACAGAGGTAAAGAAGACAAAGGGTTTTAAAGGAAAAATGATGGAAGATTACATAATTGTTTGGGGATAATTATTCTTGGCTACAAGGATCAGTAACAGGTGGCACCAGTCCAAAGGTGGACACAGTTGCTGGGCAGATGTTCTCACAGAAGTATTTTTTGTGTAAAGTTTTAATGACCTTCGTGAAGGTTGTGGTTTTGTAGTCCTCTGTGGTACTACTTGTTATCAGGCATTAAGTGCATGAGAACTCCCCCTTTCATGGCTTTTCCCTGTTTCTACTTGTCAGGGGTTTTTCAACATAAGTGTCGTATTTTGATTCTGAAACTTGCAGAATTTTAAGAAATTTGATTTTCACTCTGAGAAAAAGAGCCATTATAGGTTTTTGAGTAGCAAAATAAGATCTGAATTGTGTTTAAAAATGAATCATTCTGGTTGTTTTGTATGTATGCATGTATTTTTGAATGAATCAATACATCGCTGAATGAATGAATGAATAAAAAGATAAGGGAAAGTACATAAGCTAGATGAACATAAGTTAGGAGGTTACAGAATAATCCACCTGGCTTAGACTAGATGATTGTGGAGGAAGGAGTAGAGAAAGCAAGGCACCATTGGATTCTGAATATATTTTGAAGGTATACTGAAGAAGATTTGGTGATAGGATGAATACATAACATGAAAAAGAAAACACAAGGAACTCTCCGTGTTTTGCCTGGAGGTCTGGAATGACATAGGTACTATTTACTAAGAACTCCTCACTTTGGTAGGATCAGGTTTGGGAGAGAGTATGAAGAGCGTGGTTTTGAAATATTAGATATTACAACGAAGATGTTGAATAGACAGGTATATGTACAAATCTGTGGTTCTGGAAAGATATTTGGATTAGAGATATAAATTTGGAAGTCATCACCAAATAGGTGACATTTAAAGCTATGGGATTTGATGAAACCACTCAGGGAGTGTCTTAGGGTATAGCAGAGAAGGGAAAAGAAGAAAATGAATGTTTGGGGTTTGAATTCTGGGGCACTTCATCATTCAGAGGTCAGGTAGATGAGAAAGAACCAGCAATGGATCACCAAATGAGGAAGGAGAAAAATTAGGAGGACATGGACTCCTAGAAGCCATGTGAAGAAAATGTTTCAAGGAGGAATAATCAGTTGTGTCAAATGCTGAGAAATGAGGCAAAATGGTGACTTCTAATTTAAACAAGACTTTAATGACACGGAAGTTACTGGAATCTTCAAAAGAATAGTTTTGTGGAGTAATGGGAGCAAGTTCTAACTGAAGCAGATTCAGGAGAATGGGTGAAGATCAGGAGATAGAGATCATGGAAATTTCTTTTGTGTTTCGTTGTAAAAAGTAGCAGAGAAATAGAGCTATATCAAAGGGAAAATATGTGCGTCAAGAGATTTGTTTCTGTTTTTGCTTTGTTTTTCCTTTTTAAGATGGAAGACATTATAGCATGTTTGTGTGGTGATGAAAATGATTATAATAGATATGCATACGTTGATGTCACAGGAGACAAAAAGGGCAATTGTCAAAGATAAAACGAAATAGCATTTACTACACAAGTGAGGATACCAGCCTTAAGTAAAGGCACATAAAGTTTATGTGTCGTAACAGGAAAAGAGGCACAACGAGTATAGATGCAGGTAGATAGATTGATGAGGCAGCAGGCGCTTGTCAAAGTTCTCTTCTGATTGCTTCAACTTTCTCAGTGAAATCAGCTCAGGGCAATCATGTAACAGTCAGGCAAGAGGAATTATAACATTATGGAACTAACAACTTAGCTCTGAAACCAACAGACACATAGAGAAACTGATAAATTCACAGTTATAGCAAGGACAACAAGAAACAGACAAGAAATAAAGACAGAG